CAAATGACTAATTTTGTAATTTTCTCATTGTAAATGATCTGATCAACTACTGCAGGTTTTAACAGTTGTGATTGCAACTTTACTACACAAACACTTAGAACACATTTATTTCAATATGAAGCACATATGAAGAAGCCACAGCCAGTCAGGGGACAAATACAAACACAAATAGACAGACAGAATCTGTCACTGACCTGTCAATAAAAGGACAGCAGCAGTAGCAATGCAGAGAATGAGTTTTAATGAATTAAAAGTAGAAAGATCTGCAGGGATGACTGGAAGCCATTTAGCGTAGCTGTATCAATTTATAGTGAGTGCACTATTAGTAAGAGTTTAAATGGGTTTCAGGTTAATAGCATTTGCAATTATTTACCACAGACCATAAATTCTGACATTGCTTAGTCTGTATTCAGCCTGTTACTATTTCAAGGCTATTGAGAGCTTTTCTTTTTTTAAATTTCATTTTAAATAATAAGGTCTTTTAATAGTGGGTTTATTAAATACAGGTGTTCCCCGATAACAAGCATTCAATTAATTGGAAATGACATTTACGGGCACACATAATTTGTTAAATTCATGTAACTAGTTTAAAATTACCTTAATGAGAAACACCTGACAAAAAGAACATTTTCCAAACAAAATGAAGCATTGGCACACTGACTAATATAAGTATGGAATTGTTGTATCAGAATGTAATTAGCTAATAATTTCCTGGAATTCATTCTTGTTCTGAGACATGTATACTGTGTGTGCGTGTGTGTGTGTGTATATATCATATTAATCATATTTATAGTTTTATTTTATAGTTAGAATATGGAATCTTTAAAGTTTAGATACTGCCTATATTTTGCCTCCATATAAAATGTTGATGTTAGACAGCTCTTTAGAAGCTGCTTGTTTTAAGTCATTAAACGTGAGCTCTCTTCTGAGTGAACTGCAAATGTTGGATTTGTTCAGATTTTGTTGTCTAACAAAAAGCAGGTGCTAATGTTTAAAACTGATTTCAGCTGTTTCATCACAGATGCTGTTCACCATCTGCCTCTGCGAGACCCTTCAGAGGATGCCAGTAACTGCCGGTTCAAGTGTTCAATCCATCTTGCCAAACTAAATAAAGAGTTTTTTAAACTGTTGACAAAAAATTTGGAGGAAAAAAATCATGGAAAAGTGCGAGTTATCAAGACTGGGAATGTATGTATAGACAAGTACTTATTACAGAACCTATATTAGAGTGGAGAAGTAGGAATTTCCTGTTTTTAGAAAATTGTGGTAACCATTGTACCGGAGCAACCGGATACTCTCAAAACTTTTTAAGTGCTTAGTTTTCATTTGAGCTTTTAGTTGGAGCACAGGCAGCCCTGCATTTAAGTGGGTTTTATGTGTGTTGTCAAAAAGTAGCTGAAAGACCATTGTGGTTTCAAAGAACATCTTGACATTGCTTCCTCCAAAAATATTTTTGATGGCCTCCTGCCTTAAATGCACCATTCTTCCATCTTTTTGGAATCAAGGACTGAGAATTAACAGAATAAAAGCTGAAAACTATTTCAATATTTGTTTACAACTTCTTATTCAAAGTAAATTATTAGATAATAGCTTGTCTAATCTCAGTTCTCTCAGCAACAAAAACATGGAATTTGTGCCTTAAAACATGCTTAAAAAATTAGTGGTTGTGGGTCACCAAAGTGCATTCACTGAAAGTGCCAGGAACTGTTAAACTGAAGCGCAGCCCTCTTACATTATTGTCTTTAAAAACAGGTGCAACTAACACAAACATCAAACAGCTTCTTTTCTGGCATGTGGAGCTACGTCCTCAAAAAGGGTGGAAACAAGTGGGACTTCATCAATAATAGAACAAAAGCTGTAGCACCTCCGGGCTTACCAGCCTAAAACAAACACAATGAAAGTGTTCAAAGAAAGCTCCTAATGAGCCAGCCCAGCTGCTACTGCTTCTCAAATCAATGTCTTCTAAGCCGCCCGCTCACACACACACCCAGATCAATGAGGCTTTAGGGAGAAATTCATCCCTCCATTATCGCAGATTCAAACACAGCTCATCACCTGTGAGGAGTCAGGTTAGCTAAACTCAAGATTAACTGTCAGCGAAAAACAACCTTTAAATGGACTGAAATCATGGAGTAGGTTCAATCTTGGCATTTATTACTTGATGCATAGGTTATCAATTTCATGAAATGAGGAGAATCTGTTGTGATATAATGGGAAAACAGCAAATTAATTCTGAAATGAGCATTTATGGGAGAAAAACATGGAATTTATGTCTTCTATAGATTGACAGGATTGAGTCCTTGAAAACTGCTCTGATCCTAGAAAATGTGTGTGAATTTGTTTCAAAAGGTTTTTAGCTACAGTTAGATACAAAAAGCATTTTTAAGATAATGGCTAATGGCATGTAAACATGTATTTATTTGTTTTCTATAGACAATTACATAGAATTACTATCTTGTATAGATCTGAAAGTGATTCATTCTTTGCATTTCTTGAGATTCCTCAAAAAAGGTTTCTGTCCCAGAAGATTTAATCTAAAGTATATAAGAGAAAACATTTAAGAATATTAATATTATATTTATATAATTATAATATATAATGACATTACTAATTCTGACATGAGCATTTGTGGTTGAATATATCAATATTATATTATATAATTATAATATATAATTATTTTAAGTTACACTTTATTTTAAGGTGTCCTTGTTACAGTGTAATTATACATTTAAGTGCTGAGTAATATTATTTAACTACATGTACTTACTATATGGTTAGGGTTAGGATTAGGGTTTGGCTTAGGGTTACTTAATTATGCATAATTAACTATTATTATAATAGTAAGTACATATAACATGTGTAACAAGGACACCTTAAAATAAAGTGTTACCTTATATTATAAATTAATTCTGAAACGAGCATTTATTGTTTAAAAAAAAAAATAATAATTTATGCATTTAGTAGACGCTTTTATCCAAAGCGACTTACAGTGCATTCAGGCTATACATTTTTTTTTACCAGCATGTGTGTTCCCTGGGAATCGAACCCACGACGTTTTGCGCTGCTAACACAATGCCTGTACTACGTATATAATATAATATACCTGTACTTAGGTGCCAGAAAATACATCAGTCATGAGACCTCTGATTTATCTTTTTCTATTTAAAGATGAGCATTTCTACTATTCAAGTCCTTAACTGTGTCTTTTACTTTAGAAAGCAAAATCCTTCTTGATTCCATAAAAGGGAATAATTTCCATCATGATAGGATATAGCACTTAATTACAAGGGCATAAGGGGTTTGTATTGCAATTACTGTAATTCACCTGCAAAAGGTGACAGGGAATTGATCTAGAGGTAGAAAAAGACATCAAAAACAAAATTTTTTTAGCATTTTCTTTTTCTTTTCATGCAGCTGGATTTTAATGGCGCATTCCTCTTTGAAAGGCTGGGCACGTCGTGTGATGTCAAAAGCTCATCGCTGCAATTACGACTCGAACTCTTTGCAATCATCCATCAGGGTGGCTGAAGTTCAAGAGTTTTATTGTCATGGTTTATCTGCTTTAATCACCTGAAGTGAAGTGGAAATAAATTTTAAAATACATTCTCTGAAGGCTAATGACTGTAGCGGGTAGTTTGTGGGTGGACGGCGGAGAGGAGGTGGGCAGCAAACCCCAGTGTCTGAACCGTGGGCTGAAATTAATGTCCAGCAGCAGACTCCTGCTGTAAACTTGACAGGGAAGGGGGCAGCGTTACAACACTGTACTCTAATTACAACTGTTCCCATCCATATTTGGCTAGAATAGCACAATGGCCTGTACAAATTGACTGTTTTGACCCCTAAATTGCCCCTTTCTAATTTAACACAATTAGAGTGAGATTTCTAACCAAATAATTTTAAGATATCCAAAGCGACTTACAGTGCATTCAGGCTATACATTTTTTTTTACCAGCATGTGTGTTCCCTGGGAATCGAACCCACGACGTTTTGCGCTGCTAACACAATGCCTGTACTACGTATATAATATAATATACCTGTACTTAGGTGCCAGAAAATACATCAGTCATGAGACCTCTGATTTATCTTTTTCTATTTAAAGATGAGCATTTCTACTATTCAAGTCCTTAACTGTGTCTTTTACTTTAGAAAGCAAAATCCTTCTTGATTCCATAAAAGGGAATAATTTCCATCATGATAGGATATAGCACTTAATTACAAGGGCATAAGGGGTTTGTATTGCAATTACTGTAATTCACCTGCAAAAGGTGACAGGGAATTGATCTAGAGGTAGAAAAAGACATCAAAAACAAAATTTTTTTAGCATTTTCTTTTTCTTTTCATGCAGCTGGATTTTAATGGCGCATTCCTCTTTGAAAGGCTGGGCACGTCGTGTGATGTCAAAAGCTCATCGCTGCAATTACGACTCGAACTCTTTGCAATCATCCATCGGGGTGGCTGAAGTTCAAGAGTTTTATTGTCATGGTTTATCTGCTTTAATCACCTGAAGTGAAGTGGAAATAAATTTTAAAATACATTCTCTGAAGGCTAATGACTGTAGCGGGTAGTTTGTGGGTGGACGGCGGAGAGGAGGTGGGCAGCAAACCCCAGTGTCTGAACCGTGGGCTGAAATTAATGTCCAGCAGCAGACTCCTGCTGTAAACTTGACAGGGAAGGGGGCAGCGTTACAACACTGTACTCTAATTACAACTGTTCCCATCCATATTTGGCTAGAATAGCACAATGGCCTGTACAAATTGACTGTTTTGACCCCTAAATTGCCCCTTTCTAATTTAACACAATTAGAGTGAGATTTCTAACCAAATAATTTTAAGAAAAAGAAAAATCACAGTCACAGTCACAGGTTGGCAAGAAGACTTCAAGACTCCCTTGCTAATACAACTCGTTCCTGAAAAAAAATGACACACAAACAGATAAAAAAAAAAAAAACAGTTGTTTTTGAGGGTTTATCATATCTTCTGGTCCTTTAGTGGTGTCATACACATTCATGCTGGAAGTAGGATCTCTCTTGAATGAGCATTTCAAAAAGTGGACAAAGGGGACACGATCCAATTTATTATCAAACATCCAACATCCCTTTTCACACATTATTGACAGGTACATTGGGTTCCTCTCAAAAATCACTGGTGAATCACATAATATGCTTTTATACTGTACATGCTTAAATAAAATTACCTGTCTGATGGGAATTGAAACACCTATGAGCTTATAGGTTTCGTCTAGTAATGAGAAAACCAATTCAATTGAACACTGTAAGTATTAAAATGAGCCACAGAAAAAGTCATAAAAAGAACAGATGACTCTGCATGATCCCATGACCAATCATTGGATCATGCAGGTGGCTCAAGTCTAACTGCTTGTTCCTTGAAGAGCTTCAGCCATGAAAAGCTTGCCCAGGTTTTGAGATGTGAACTCCTTGATGGTTTGGCAGTATGTGCTGATTTGACCTAAAGAAAAAATTAGAAATATAAAATTCAGGGCAAATAAACAATGGCGTGAGACAGTGAGAAAGAAAGAAATCTCGAGGGAGTTGAAGAAGGTACAGAAATCAGAGACAGTGAGAGAAACAGAGAAACAGGGGCAGGGTGGGCTGTCTGCTGAAGTGGCTCAGTTAATGTACTCCATTATGTACTGAAGGCTGGCCGTCGAGTTCTTAGGTGATTGGCTTTCCGCTTGGCAGCGCTGCTGCTCACGCCACAGGAGTTTAAAAGACCTTAAGAGATGGGGAGAGATGAGGTGCTCCCCTCCACAGCACCTGCAAACATTTAATTGAGCCATAGACCAAGCACTACAAAGAGCTGCTCATGGAAACAAATACTCTTACTTGATGCCGTTTAGTCTGCATCTCTTCTGATCTTGATTTTAAATGTTAAAGCTGGCTCCTATTAGACTGCTATATTTTATATTTTAAACATAATTAAATTATCATTTAATTATTATTTAATATAACTGAATATTGCATCTTATATATATAGAGAGAGAGAGAGAGTATATTTTATTTAAATATATTTAATATTATATCATAACTAAAACTATTATTACTGTACATATACAGATCATACAAGTGCACATATTATACAATAATTATTCAAATAAAATAATATAAAATATAAAAAACATTTATAAAATAAAATATTCATTTAAATATTACATTGTTTTAAATATATATTAGGGCTGCACGATATAGCGAAATTATCGAAATATTGCAAATGTGCATATCGCAACGGCATGCGATATCTGAATTATTTTAATAATAGGCTACTTCAAAACATTGAGAAAAGTCAAAGTTTTAGGTCAGCGCATATAGCAGAGAGTAGACTGGGCACGCGACTGTTACTTACGCGACTTGTTTTAAAGCTAAAAATAGTTATTAAGTGCAATATGTTGCAGAAAACAACTCCTTGCTGCCTCGTGCTCTTGTACAGTACACAGAGCTACGGTGGCCGAGAAGTGCAAAGCAAATCACAATTCTGAAAACAAAATAACAAATTACAAACGCAAATGCAAGTCTAAAAAACAAAATAACAATTCAGAAAGCACAACAACAATTCAGAAAACATTATAACAAGTTCTGATTTGTTAATTTGTTTTCGGATTTGTCTTTGTGTTTTCTGACTTGTTATTTTGTTTTCGAATTTGTTATTGTGTTTTCTGACTTGTTATAATGTTTTCTGAATTGTTGTTGTGCTTTCTGAATTGTTATTTTGTTTTTTAGAATTGCATTTGCGTTTGTAATTTGTTATTTTGTTTTCAGAATTGTGATTTGCTTTGCACTTCTCGGCCAATGTACAGAGCCGATCCTCCCTGTACACAAAGTATGCATGTTGCGTATGCCTTGCTCTCAAAGATGATTTTATTTTAGTTTCGTTTTTGATTTTGGCCAGTGGTTATGAAAACATGAATGTTCCTTTCTTTTAATGCGGTGCGCTGTCGCCCTTTCTACGTAACATCCCAAATAAGTCAAATCATGTAACGTGACTGTCATATACAGTCTTCAGCCATTCTTGCTCGATACTAAAAAAAGAGTTAAAATCGCACTGAGCTGTGGAAGAGATTGAATATTGTATAACTTTGTTATGAATCAATTTATGTTTAATTTATTTGGTGAAGTCTATGCAGTGCATTATTTTTTATTTGATTACTTTAATAAATTTCTGTATAGTAGGCTATTATATGCTATTTTGTTTCATTGTTAAAATAGTTTTTTTATGAAAGCACAGACAGAACTCATAAAATATATGGTCGCAATCGTGTGTTTATTAGTCGCGTTGAATCAATGAAAGTGGTTCAATCTTCTGTTTATTCAGCTACAGCAATAGATTTCCTGGAACGACATGCATTTTGTCTCTTCTGCGGAGCAGATTTGGAGTTCGCGAGATAGGCCTATCGTATCGCTAGGGATATGCCGGTATCAAATTTTCATGTTGTGATTAATTGCTAATGCTTTTATTACGGTATATGGTATTATCACAGTATTGAAATTAAGTAAAAAAATAATCTGCTGTCAGATAGTGAAAGTGCGCTTTCATCCAGAGCGTCTCTCACATGTTCCACCATGTGCTTCATGTCCGCACTTGTTTACATCAGAGTGCACAGGCGTCTTTCACACAGCATACAGCGGTGTTGTGCATTTTGACCAGTTGATGGGAAAAGTATTCTTAGAATGCATTCAAAATTCTGAATAATTTGTAATATATAATTATTCACGGTATTTAGAAGTGCCCACGATAACAATACCGTGCATATTCATTACCGTGATATATCGCATTTTTACCGAATACCGGCACAAGTCTACGTATCGCAGATCGAATAACGCATTATTTAACAAGATATCGCATTTTTCTTCGATTTCGCACAGCCCTAATATATATTCAATATTTATCACATATTTTATTTACTAATATTGCTATTAGTGTATATATTATTATACAAATAATGCAGAACATATTAATAAATTAAAATAAATGTAAATACATCACTTTTAAAATTTAACTGCATTATGTGTTTGCAACCATTGTGCCCTTAAAAAACAAATATTAGATAAATAAATTAGATCAAACTGCTCATCGTCAGTTATTTATTAGGACCTTTAGTTTGACTGCAAAAAGGTCCCATAATATAATCCATTTCAAAGGCTGAACATTCAAAATCGGAAACAGCATGTTGCTGAGTAAACAGCATGACTCTAGAGTTAGGTACAAGATGACAGACATATCATCCTCCTCCAGCTATTTTCTCTCAGACAGTGGCTGATCTATAATATACTACCCCCATAACAAGTTAGAAACAATTGCTTTAAATCAATCTCTGGCAAGGCCTCTGTAATGTTCCTCATAAATTACCCCTCCTCCCTTCCTTTCTCCCTTCCATCTCAACTCCACAGGACAGAAAAAAGGGACAAGTCCAAATCTTTTCTGATCCAAATGAGATGAAATGAGCAGGAGACGCTCAAGCACTGTGTTGGGATGCCTCATGCTCAAGAGCAGAGATTTGGCTTCTATTACTGAGCAGACACTAATCATCCACTTAAAGCATGTATACACAGCTTAAAATGTGTAAACATATTTCAACTTATCCTGTAAGGCCTGACAAAATATGAAATAATAGTTTTTTTTTTTAATTGAACCATTTCGAACCTTTAGATGTCTCATATAGTAGAATAAAGAAGAGAATATGGAGCTCATACTCGAGGAGGGAAAAATTCCCAAACTGAGCAAATTCTAATAGCTTGTACCACTTATAGAAAATGCATATAAATAACCTGATATATGATGAAACATATGATATATCATATAAATAGGAAAGATTACATACTAGCAATGAGCAGGGTGTCCATTCGTGGAGGCGGCTGAGGAGGCTTGAACATCTTGCTCAGGTCTTCCTCAGGAAGCGGAGGCTCCCCTCGGCTCTGTCTCTGCGCGTTCTCCTGTTGCCGCCTCTGAATGTACTGTAAAGAGATGAAGAATAATGGTTATTCCAAACTTGATATCCCTATCTTTTGTTATTAACCTCTGCCTGAATTAAAGCAAATCTTCTGAGAAGCAGCCTTTTAAGATGGCCATGACAGGCCAGGAGAGGTGGCAGAAAAAGAAGACTGATGGTGTATTTAAAAGAAGGTGAAGATGACAGCTGAAAAAATGAAAAAGAAACATGGATACATCAGAGTAAACATTCAACTAATCACTGATAATCCAGGCGCATTGTGTCCTTTGTGCCTACTAGTAATCAATCACATTTTCTGCATCAGGAATTAGATTTAAAGAAACGAGAAAATAAAGAGAGAATCGCTATGTCATTGCGGTATCAGAGGAATTTGGGAGGTCACATGTACTTCAATCAATCACAAAGTTTAGGGCATCAGAGTCCAGCACGAGGAAGGCCGTTACCACCTCGCCTCTCCTGTCTCATACAGACCTTGATACACAGCCACTCAATAAATCTCTTTTAACTTCACTGACTTCATGGAGTCAGTGGGCACGATTCTGAACAATGCTAGCTGGCTGGCTGCAAAGTCCCAGACACTCTCGCATGAATAGGAAGATTTGCAGCCTTATATTTAAAAATGAATGAAAACTCTTGAACTCAGGTGAACCTCATGAAGAAACATCAAGGTCATACTTCACCTCTAAAACTCATAGAGACAATAAATACTATTTGTAGGACCATTGCGATTTTGTTTAGGAGTTTACATTTAGCTTAATTTCAGTACATGACGTATCCTTATGTGTACCAGCTTCTGTATAATTACACTACCATTCTTAAGTTTGGGGTTGGTAAGAAAAAGTATAAAATTATTATTATTATATAATTATTAATTATTACACTTATGCTTACCAAGGCTGCATTTGATCAAAAATACAGTAAAATCTTTAATAATGTGAAAAAAAATGTTTTAATGTAAATAACTGTTTTCTATTTTAATATAGTTTCAAATGTAATTTATTCCTGTGATGGCAAAGCAGAATTTTCAGCAGCCATTACTACAGTTTTCAATGTCACATGACCCTTCAGAAATCAGTCTGATATGCTGATTTGCTGCTCAAGAATTTATTATTATTATTACTATAAAAAATAATTATATAGAACAATTATTTTTTACATTTAAAAAAAAATAAATATTTAAATTAACAAATATTTTCCTTACAGTTACATAAAATGTATCCTTCAATTTTATATTTAATTATTTGTTTGTTTACAGGAGAGAAGATGTGTAAGAACAACCTTTAAAATATTCTTTGGTCTCTTTATGCAAAAATACAAAAAATATAATTTCCTATTTTTGTCTTTTGCTCTTGGGGGGGGAATTATGATCCAAATATTTCTTGACATTTTTCAGGAGAATCCCACTTTATATTGTCTGTACTGTGCATTAACAAATAAACACTGATTTAAGAGTAAGATCTTTAATTGCTAAAAACTTTACCCTCTGAAGTGCACCCTGTGTTTTCGAAACAAAGCTTTGATTACAGCCTCAGAGCTAATTCCTAGGTTTCGAGTTGCACAGTTTAATCAATTACAACTGTATTATAATTATATCTTACAGAGCATAACATCAAGAGTGCTCATTCAGCGCAAGCCCCTTATTGTGATCTTTGTGGTGACGACAACCTGTTTTCCCTTGAGCAGACATCACGCTAGCAAAGCTACCATTAACCGTAACTAGCATTTACATGCTTATGATAGCTCTCATCCCACCAGCACATCAAAGCATTTAAAACTGTGCATTCCCCCATATCAGTGTCACAGTCGTCCACAGCCCACTCCCACCTCCCTGTAATATTCTGGCTCGGATCCTTTCTTAGCTTGTTTCCACAGTCTGCTAGGTGAAAATCTTTTCTCAACAAGCTGGATGACTTGAGGTATCATTCACGTCTATGGCACAAACGGTGTGGGAAAAGACAGGTGTAGCCGTTTGATGGATTACCTGATGTTTCTGTTGCTGTTGCTTGCTGAGACTGCGGCAGTAGTTGTTGTACTTGACAATGTCCTGACTCATGTCATCCACGCGGTCCATCAGCATCTGCAGGCTCCTCTCCAGATGAGTACTGCAGAGGAACGACAAGGTGAAGACGCCTGAATAATGGAAATAATGAATGTGTATTTGATTGCTTGTTAATTGGTGAATACTTTTTCTCCATCGTGTCTTACAGCACACAGAAATACATTTATTTTATGAATAACATGCTATGGAGAAACTCAGGTTAAACCAAAAGAATATCTGGATCATTTTTGACCTTTATATAGTTGTCCCAAATTTTTTAGCAAGGTTACAAACATCCTGAAAGTTTGATGTGGAGTGACATTACACACACACAATAAAGAAATAAAGAAAAAGCAAAGCTAAACAATAAATAAATAAATATTTTTATTAATGAAAATAAAAAACTGTTAATTACAAATATACTACCATTTAAAATTTGAATAAGGATGGACACCATGTTTTTTGTTTTGTTTGTTTTTTAAATACCTTGATGAAAAATAACGGTTTTCTATTTTAATATATTTTAAAAAGTAATTTATTCCTGTGATGGTAAAGCTAAAAAATTTTTACTGAACCCAAACTTTTGAGTTGTAGTATATCTAAACATCCTTAAAACATGATGTTTTTTTATTTATGTTTTCTTGTTTTAAGCACAACTCTCACTTGGTTTGGAAAAATTAGCTAGAAAAAAAAGTCTTTATATCTAATGCAATTTTGCTACATTTACCTTGTTTTAAATAATATTTTACCTTCAAACAAGACAAAAATATCAATTAGGGGAAAAAATTACAATTATATTTAATTTCTATGGTTATAGAATGTTTAGAATGTTTATTCAATAGCAGGGAATAAAAGGATTTTTGCTCACAGCACACTTGTATTGAAATTTCAGTATGCTTGAATCAGAAATGTAAAACTGTGCCAGTATCTTGGCAATGCCATAAAGATCAAAATCTTATAGGGAAGTCAAATGATCAAAGTGCATCTTAACCATCAATAGAGTAACACAGAATAATAATAAAAAAGCAGATAACACGGATTCCTCATTAATAATTCATCACATTCCGCATACATCATGCGATATGCAAAACAGGTCCCACTTTAACTGTAGTAGAATGATATCCATATTTTATAACAGGACAGCAACCCATAGGACCAAGGATTGGGAAAATGTCTTCAAAAGCAGTTTATCTGTTCTTCGCAAACCCCATTAACAACAAATTAGCCTCGCCAGCATGTTCCATTAATCTTGAAGAAAATTGCTGGACGTATGTGGAGAAGGGAGATCCTGGGGGTGCGGACAAACCAGGAGCAGCTCTCTATCATGCATGAACATGTATACCCTGGTGCACATCCACACAGATTTATGTTAGCACCAAATCTTCTTGTAAGGTCTATGTGCACTACAAAGAAATCTCTCATTAGCTGCTAGAAAAATCCAGATAAAACCAGATTAGTCTTTTGGAACATGGTAGCTGGTTTGCAACTTCTCCAAGTCTGTGATTACTCAGTCCAAGCTAGTAGATCTTGGACGAGCCACAAACCAGCTTTATGACCTGGTCAACAAGCCTGGAACAGCTAATCAACTTTATTACTTACCAAATGAACTGTTTCTGTATGTATGTACACTGCCATTCAGAAGTTTGAGGTCAGTAAGTTTCTTTCCTTTTTTTCTTTTTTTTTGAGAGCGAGAGAGAGGAATTAATCATTTTATTTGGCAAGGACACATTAAATTGATCAAAAGTGGCAGTACAGACATTTGTAATGTTACAAAAGATTTATATTTCAATGCTGTATAAATGCTGTTCTTTTGAACTTTCTATTTATAAGAATAATGAAAAAAGTATTAGTTTGCAGCACAACTGTTTGCAACATTGATGAAAATAAGAAAAAACGTTTTTTGAGCACATCACAGGAATAAATTACATTTTACAACAGAAAATATTAAAATAGAAAACATTTTTACTCTATTTTTGATCAAATTGATCAGCCTTGTTAAGCACGAGAGTAATTGTAAACTGTAATGTAATTCCGATACCAAACATTGGTGCCTTTTATGACAAGTCCTGCTTAATAACACCCTTTATGATAAGATAATAATTATTTTTGTTATGGCCAATAACCAATAAATAGCTGGCTTTAAAATTCTATACTATTTTGTGTAAAATAAAGATTTTAAAAAGTAGATTACAACAAGTCAAGTCAAGTCAAGTTTATTTGTACAGCGCTTTTCACGATACAAATCATTGCAAAGCAACTTTACAGCAAATTAAGTTTCTACAATATTTAGTGGTAGCTTATCAGTGGTGACTGTCAATTAATGTACATATGGCAGAAATGTACGGAAAAATCAATTTAAGACGTAATAAAAAAGACGATGAACACTATTAACAGCAATTATAAAATAATTAAATGTGCAAAATAGCAAAATGTGGTAGTTCTGTATGTAGTTTCAGGGTTGGCATCATCTGAGGGGTTGGCATCATCTCTTCTCAGGTGTTCTAGATCCAGACTGAAGCTTGTGTAAATCCTAGTTACCACAGGATGTCAATCCCGTGGCAAAAACAGAGAAACAAATAGAGACATAATTAGCGTAGCTGCTGTTAATCTCTGCTTTGTGATTTTCTCAGGTTGAATTTAAAGAACTCGTGGAAAACGAGTGTTAGAACTTTGGGAACTTCATGCAACTCTGTTAACTCATTATCCTGAACCTTTTGTGTGTATGTGTGTATGTGTTAGTTTAATGTAATCTAGAATAGCCAATAAACTGTTGTTTCATTTATAAAGAATCATTGTCTTGTGTATATGTAATTTAAAGTTAAACCTTGCCCAGATCACGTTACCTAGCTCGTAGCTTATAACTTATCAAAAGCATGTATTAACCTGTGGCCAGGGAGAATACAAATATTCAAATTGTTAAGATACACGGATGTTAACGTCTCGCTGGACGAACAGTTGATAAAGTGTAAACTATCAAATTTGAAATCAGTTCTAATCAGGTTGACTTCGAATCTTCAGATTCGATTCCTCTCAAAACCTGAGCTTAAATAATAATACTTAATTCCCTTATAAAATTTAACTTTATCTTACAATGAATATAAATTAATCAGATTTTCTAAAGATTACATTTAACATTGTTATTAAACTATTAACTAACAATAATTTAACTATTTAAGTTCATGTTTAACTTAAACGTTGAAGGCAAAGGTAATGTATGAGCATGTATAGTTAAATATCCAGTATCAGCCAATATTAATAAATAATTAAAATTAATAAAAACATCCCTAATATCGACCAATATATTATTATGGATTTTGTGGCTTTAGTATACACAGATCGGTTCAACAAATGAATGCCAAAATGGGTCTGTTAACAGGTGATGTGACAGAAAGCAAACTGACTGCATACTAAAATAAAATGTTTTACAAAAGCATGACTCTACTCCTTAGCAAATGTTGATTTACAGTTGATTTACGATGTTGTGACACTCCAGAAGTACAGCGGCAAACCGTAGACGCACCCTCCACTACATTTTCAAAACACAGAGAACAAGACCCAGAAGACTGTGGATTGCAAAGGAACACAAATTCAGATTAGGACTGATGACCAAACGGCAGTGAACAAAAAAGACGACACAACTTCAGGGAATCTGCTCACTGTATATTTAAATAGAAGATTGTACCGCAAACCACAGCTTAACTGGACTCCGAACAGCAAAAAAATAAATAAAAATCACATACACAGATTTTTTTTTCTCCTTTAACTGCCCCTACAGGGCAAGTTATATAGTTTGCTGGCTCTGCAAGTTTGGCAACAAAGCAAGCCTGTGGAGACTAAAAGAGAGAAAAGAGAAAGAGAGTATGTGTGTATGTGTGTGTGGCCCTGGAAGCAGTTTTTAATGTTTATGAAGAGTCTTTCTGTGGAGGCAAGCCAGCTCTGATGAATGAGGGCAAGCATCCCTGTATGACCTCCATCTTTTACCATGCACCTCATTATTCAGAGTCCAAAGAGCTCTATGGATCTTCCCCTCTCCCGCTATCTGAATCTCTTTCACACACACACTCTTTTACTGTATATATACCCACATACAACACACATGCCAGCAGTATGCATTCATAAAGACACACCAACAATATAGGTTCACATGCCTACATGCCAAATTTGCTGTGCATAGTTTTTTGTTTTTCTTCAGGCCATGTGCGTTGTATTTTGAATTATTTGTATTAGAAATATATTTTTGTTACATTGACAATGGAAATAATTTTTCATTTTTTTCAATGCACATTTGCGACAGACATCAATGACAGCATTATTGCTTGATTTTTTTGTTTATATATAATTTATATAAATATATAACCAAAAACATCAAGCAATAATGCAATGATAATTATTATTATTTATGACTATATTACTTATTACTATTACTAATTATTATTACTATAATAATTATTATTATTTAATAGTTAACTGTATTACCATTAAAGTTAACCACTTTATAGTTTCTATACAACTAACCATGACCCATAATGTTCATGACCTATAAAAAAAAAAATAATAATAATTTATGAATAATTTTTACCTTCAAGGTTTAGCTATGTTCTGGGAACAGTTTTGTCTCTAAATTACAGCTAAGTAAATCAGAATGAATGTCCAACAATTCGTCTCTGGTGAAACTGATTGCAGGGATATAGCCACGGGAGCATGCCACGGAGGCAGCCATCACCGTCGGCGCCATATTCGGCCATCTTCTAAAACCACAAACACAGCAAAACCTCAGTAATAAATACATGCTTACACCCCCTATCTGCATATCCTGGCTTCCATTAGCATATTTAATAACATTTCACCATTTATGTTTCTCGCTCTGTCTGAAACACACACAAACAAATCAAAACAAAACTCTGCTGATCTAAAATGGGCTTCATGAATAAACCGCCAGTGACTGCAGTCTCAAATGACTCAGTGAATATTAACATCCCCTAAAAAGACAATTGGAAGTTGTTTATCTATTACTTGATTAGGAAAGAAAATACCATCCATGACGGTTAGTGGAACCTGTCAGTG